ACTCCATGGAAAGGCCACACCTTGGAAAGAGGCTGCAAGATACAGCAGGGATGTGAGGCTCCACAGAGGGGTCAAGTCCAAGAGAGGCCAGGATGCAGGCCAGGGTAACAAAACAAAACATCAACAATAAGGAGAAAACTCATAACCTCTCACTCAACAGCACTGAGCTCATTTCCAAGTGTGAGGAGATTGATGACAGAGAACCATGATTTTAATCTAGACAGCACCAGAGAGATCTGCAGACTTCCCTACCCTGGGCAGGCAGCTCAGCTCCTGCTTTGAAGTCTTGCCCTAAGAACAGAAAACAAGACCAAAAATCTCCCTCCTGAGGCTCCTAAAAAAAAAATCTGGAAGAGGAACAAGAATGTTTTTCCAAACAATACGTTTGAGCAACAGTTAAAATTAGGAGAAGAATTAGCAGAAAACAATCAGAGTCAAAGAAAAGCACCAGTTTGAGGAGAGGAGAGCAACTAGGTGCTAGGGACAGCACATGGCCAGTGAAGATGGGACAATATATACTGGTCTAACTCAACACTGCAGCATCACAGGACACAAGCCTCTTCAGATGTCACTCCCTAGGTCCACTGGAAGAGATTCTGCCATCACTTCAGAGCTGAGAGGTTTATTTTGCAAAAGGTGGTGTGCATTTGCCCTCTTCCTGCAGCTCTGGTCACACGTTCTCCACTAAGCAAGCCTCAGAGTTAAATGGGGGCAGAAGACAGGGCTTAGGCATGACAGATGTATACAAGTGGTTATTTATTGGAGCAGGGAATTTCCCATAATCACTACCAGAGACCTAGAAAATAATCACTTCAAGTGAAAAATAACAGCTTTTAGAACCACCTCCCTAAAGCATGATTTTCTCCCATTCAAACTGAGCTCTTTGATGTGCTTTATTCAGTAATGATAAAAATTTACACAGAAGATGAAGTGATTGAGGATTTGCTGCAAGGATTAGATTGCTGCTGCTCTCTGTAAGCAAATCAATAACAGGAAAATAAATGGCATTTGTATTTTGTCCATGGGAAACGTGCTGTTAGGAAAACACAGGGCAGGGATTATATTGGAGAGAGAGGCTTATTATTTTCACTGGAGCACACAAGGAACAGTCCAATGATTAGGCTGTGCTCTACCAGCTTTCTTCTTTTTCCCATTTTGTGTTTCTTCTTTGATTCCTCCCAATTCCATTTCCTCTCTCTCCTAAAATCCTCTGAATTTCCAATAAAGAGAAGCAGCACCTGCTTTGTAGAAGTCTATCCTGCCCTTGGAAAAAGGAAAAAAAAAGCAATGAAATGATGCCACCCAACTCAAAGTGCCCATTAGACAAAAAGTCTCAGAGAGAAGCTTCCCAGGACACTCTAGTTAAGGAAGAATAAGCATTTATATACTCCAGTCCCTCATCCAAATATTTTGGGTGTCTTAATTCAGCCACTTGCAGCTTCCAAACGTTAATGTGTTTTACTCTGATGGCTCAATCCCAAGACAAACTCCAAGTTAACTCAAATTAATAAGTTTTCTAGTTGACTACAAAACCACTCTTGCTTTTTAAGGCTTCATTCAACATTTTTTTTGATCAGATATCCTTCCACTGAGCCAAATCAAAACTCAGGAGATCTCTACAACCTTGCTATAACCCCACTCATCATTTTGCTGGTTAAACAAACTCTGGAAGCTCCACGTTCCTGCTGGCATCCATCATATTCATGGCTGCTACAAAGGGAACTTCCTGAAGCAGCCAGGGCAAAGACACATCCAGACAGAGAGCATCAAACTGGAAAATGCTGGGAAGGCTTTGGAACAAACAGAGGAGCTGGGGAATCATCTACAAAGTCCCACAGATGGGGACTGGAAGGAACCAGACAAGATATCAGGTATTTTGTGGATGTTTTCTTCAAAAAAATATCCATATTATCTCAGTAACCCAGACAACTCAAATGCCCAGGCAGAAGACATGATAAAGTCACTGATAAAGATTTTATTCTCCAAGTGCTTATCAGGATATATTTGGATCTACACCAGACCCAAACTGAAATGTAGGATCCACCAAGTTCCTAGATAAGCCAACCTTTTTCCCAAATTCTAGGGAAGCAGCAGCATCTGAGCCTGGCCACAACAGTTTCTCAAGGGCCCTGGTGAATACACTAATGAAAGAGTGGTTTCAGCATCTTGCCATTAAGGGTTAATTCTAATTTCAAGTCTCCTTGGCCTAGTTGGCCACCAACACCAACCCAGCAGATAGAATTGCCAAGCAGGTATATTTGGCTCCAGTCACTCTGCCAATTTAGCAGCAGCTAATGGCTGCAAATTGCAGGGTGGAAGTTCAGCAGAGTGGGTCTCACACGTGGGGCTTGTTCACTGGTAGAGCCTGGATCTGATTAATCAGAATTAAAAGAAAGCAGCTCTCCTGAAGCATGGTAACTGCTTTTTCCCCCTCATCTCTGGAAAGAAGAAAGATCAGCTTGTCCTGAGTGGGTAAGGACCAGGGCAGCCCAGCTCAAACCTGCCCCTCTGATTCCAGCAGTTTCCCCTCATCAGTGAGCAGAGCATGGCTGGTGCCAGGCAATGCCAAACCTCTGCCAAGCAGCCAGCCAGCCTAGCCAAGAGAAGGCAACCTGGAAGAGATGTCTTCACAACACAAGGGCAACCTGAACTTATTTCCTCTGTCACCACCAGGTCCAAAACTCTTTTACAGCACCAAGAAATCACCAAGTGGCTCCCTGCTACCACTCACATACACATTTGCACCTTCCTGTCCTCTCCACACGCACTGAAGTTCATCAGACAACAAAAACTGGGCATAATAGATATTTTTAAGGACACTGTGGCAGGTACTAGGTAGCTCCAGACTGACAGCTACTGCCACCCAAACAGAGCACTAGTGTAGCACATATGGGCACTACCCAAGGCTTGTCCTACTCAAGTGTTCACCAGCAGCAACCAAGCCAACAAGTCTCCAACCTTTGGCCCTCCATGAGCCACTGTGTCTGTGCATCACTGCTGGTAAGCCAGCTCTTAATTACTCTGCATCCTAATTTGACAGAACAATGTCTCAACACAACTTGCAGAGTGCTGGTGGCTGGGCTTAGGTTTTTTAATAAAGAGGCTTACAGATTTTCAGCCTCTCTAGCACCAGAGCTGCTTTAAACACATGGGCTCACATATAAAAGAATGGGAATCTTGCTGAATATTCCAAAATTCATTTATTCCTGGGGGAACCTGAACTGAAAACACTAGGGAGCAATAAAGGTCCTTAAAAAGCCACTTGAGATTCTTCAGAGGCTCGTTTCTTTCATTTTGATTCCCAGCTACTGCCATCGTTTCTACTTTTCTGAGAAGACAAGCTGACACATTCTGTTCAGCTCTTCTGTCAAAAAGTTGCAGTCACAGCTCCCAGCTTCCCAGCTGGAAAGGCTGCTCAGCTGCAACATCCACACACTGCAGCCTTCTCTCTTCTCTCAATCCTCCACCAGGAACAAACAGGCCTCCCAGGGGAGGGACGAAGCTCTTGGAGGTAAAAGGCCCCATTAGAACTTTGGAAAATTGGTTAAAAACTTCAGAAAAAAATATATAATTAAGACAAGATGCGAAGCAAATGGAGAAAAAAAAAAAAGAGAAAGAAACTAAGACTTTCTTCCTACAAAAGGAGGAGGAGGGGACTTGCATTTAACACAATTGAAATTCCCCTTCATTTATACCTCCCAATACTGCCTAATTACTGAGGTATCTGGAGTTCAGCACCAAAAATCACTCTTAAAAAGGCTGAAATATTTGGCTACGGAGATGAATCCTGCACTTAAATCATACAGACCACGAATTTAGGACCTTATTGAGATCTTGCCCTTATTACAAAGGAAAAAAAGTCACTATCCTTCAAGATGGTCCCAAAAAAAGGTGTTTTCCTCTCTATAACCCCCAGTGCTGAGTGACACCCTGTCACACACCTTTAACAGGACACCTAGCCCATCCTGTTAGCAGGAGACACTACATCTCAGCAGAAGACAATAAGCCATACTGTCCAGGACACAGGATAAGCACCACCAGGAGAGGCAGGTGATGTCACCAGAGAACCTTGACCTCACAGATATAACCATCAATGTTGGATAAGACCTCTCATCAAGTCCAACCATCAACCCAACACTACCATGGCCAGTAAACCATGTGCCACATGCACACAGTCTTCAAACCCCTCCAAGGATGGTGACACCACCACCCACCCCCCTGGGCAGCCTGGGCCAAGGCCTCACCACTCTTGCAATCAAGAAATTCTTCCTCACGTCCAATCTAAACCTCCCTTGACACAACTTAAGCTTATTTCTTCTCATCCTATGTTCTGCCAGTGACCAGGCCCAACAAAAATGATGCACTCAGCAG